AATTCCAATACACGCATTGTGAAATGGTGTCCCATGGAATGTTTGAAATAGTCTACAGTGGTACCTTGGTTTACAACCATAATCTGTTCTGGAGGTCTGGTTGTAAACCAAAACAGGTTGTAACCCAAGGCATGCTTTCGCCAATGGGTTCTCCCCCCCAAAAAATTGGTTGTAATCCAAAAAAATAGGTTGTAATCCCCAAAAAGGGACACACAATTCCAGGTTTGACGTGGTTGTAATCCAAAATGGTTGTAATCCGAAGTGGTTGCAAACCAAAGTGCCACTGTAATTCCTAATATTCTGCCTGTTTTTGTAACTTGGAACGGTGCATTATATTATCTAAAGTTCAATATATACAGATGATGTTGCTGGATCTCTTTAAATTGTCTAGTTAGCAATGAATATTAGGAGCACTTTGTGAGTTTGTGAGTTGTAAGCCTTTTAAAGACACACATAGTTGTAATTTTTTTAAAAAAAAATAATGATGATGCAATGTACAATTGTGTATGGATTTAGGAGTAAAGACAAGAACCACTGTAATTTTCTGTAATTCAATAAAAAATATTATTCTTAAAAATGGACGTATCAGCAGCCAGTTGAAAGTTAATATTGAATTATATTTAGCCACTGAACCCAGCATGAATATACTTAACTTAAACATATTGTTCCTTAACCTGACAGTGACCTTGTTAAATGTGACAATTGAACTGAACTGAAATGAACTGAAATGATATTCAAACTGAATTGAAGTGGAACAAAAACCAAAGGAGTAATGGTTTATCCCAAACTGCTGAAATAGAGAGTATGGACTAGGGATGAAAGCGGGAATTCTATTCAATTGCATGTAAAGCTGAATCTACCTAATGCGAACTTTTCTAAACAACATGCAACCCAAAACACAACCATAATATGGAGAAATATGCATATACTAGATAGAGTGCATTAAATGCATATATTTCTGAACATAGCATACAAAATGTATTATATTAGAGAAAATTCTTTGCAAAAGAGAGAGAGTGTGTGTAATAGGAACGACATGCTTTCAGATATGTATAGTAGGAGTAATCCACAGTAAACGGTTGACAATTTTACATAAGGACTTTTTTCAAGACAAATGTGTAGAGCTGATTTTAGGATTGGAAAAATGGGAAACCCAAAACTACAGATTAATCCTTTCATATTAGACATGGGTGTGTGGCAAGGGCAGGAGCTGTGGGGACAGAAAAGAATTAACAACAACAACAAGGTTTAACTTGCTCTTTCAACTATTGGTTTAACACAGAAATCAGTGTCAGGCCCTCCAGGTTTTGTTAGGATGCGGGTGGCTCTGTGGTATAAACTACTGAGCCTCTTGGGCTTGCTGATCAGAAGGTTGGTGGTTCGAATCCCTGCAACGAAGTAAGCTCCTGTTGCTCTGACCCAGCTCCTGCCAATGTAGCAGTTCGAAAGCATGCCAGTGCAAGTAGATAAATAGGTACTGCTGTGGCAGGAAGGTAAACGGTGTTTCCGTGCGCCCTGGTTTCTGTCACAGTGTTCCGTTGTGCCAGAAGCGGTTTAATCCTGCTGACCACATGCCCCAGAAAGCTGTCTGTGGACAAATGCTGGCTCCCTCGGCATGGAAGCGAGATGAGCGCCACAACACCATTGTCACCTTTGACTGGATTTAACCCTCCAGAGGTCCTTTACCTTTTACCTTTACCTTTTAACACAGAAATCAGTGTCATGCCCTCCAGGTTTTGTTGGAGTCCAATTCCCAGTTATGATAGCCAATGGTAACAGAATATGGGAGGGAGCTATACTCCAAAAACAACTGAAGGGCAAAACATGGGCTGTTCCAGTTTTAACAACAAATTGTCAGGAATGAGCTAGCTCCGAGTGAATGTTTGCAGCCAACAGCAGAAAGCAGCCAGGAACATAGAGACTAAGATGTTAGTCAGGCAGGGGAGAGCCAGGGAGTTGCAGATTTCAGCTCTTCCTGACCGTGACAGGCTGGCTGATAAGGCAGTGCAGTGGTACCTCAGGTTAAAGAACAGTTTCAAGGTTAAAGAAACGGGACCTCCAGAAAGAATTAAGTTCTTAACCTGCAGGTAACCACGTGCACTGCCTTATCAGCCAGCCTGTCACGGTCAGGAAGAGCTGAAATCTGCAACTCCCTGGCTCTCCCCTGCCTGACTAACATCTTAGTCTCTATGTTCCTGGCTGCTTTCTGCTGTTGGCTGCAAACATTCACTCGGAGCTAGCTCATTCCTGACAATTTGTTGTTAAAACTGGAACAGCCCATGTTTTGCCCTTCAGTTGTTTTTGGAGTATAGCTCCCTCCCATATTCTGTTACCATTGGCTATCATAACTGGGAATTGGACTCCAACAAAACCTGGAGGGCTTGACACTGATTTCTGTGTTAAAAGGTAAAGGTAAAAGGTAAAGGACCTCTGGAGGGTTAAATCCAGTCAAAGGTGACAATGGTGTTGTGGCGCTCATCTCGCTTCCATGCCGAGGGAGCCAGCATTTGTCCACAGACAGCTTTCTGGGGCATGTGGTCAGCAGGATTAAACCGCTTCTGGCACAACGGAACACTGTGACAGAAACCAGGGCGCACGGAAACACCGTTTACCTTCCTGCCACAGCAGTACCTATTTATCTACTTGCACTGGCATGCTTTCGAACTGCTACATTGGCAGGAGCTGGGTCAGAGCAACAGGAGCTTACTTCGTTGCAGGGATTCGAACCACCAACCTTCTGATCAGCAAGCCCAAGAGGCTCAGTAGTTTATACCACAGAGCCACCCGCATCCTAACAAAACCTGGAGGGCCTGACACTGATTTCTGTGTTAAACCAATAGTTGAAAGAGCAAGTTAAACCTTGTTGTTGTTGTTAATTCTTTTCTGTCCCACAGCTCCTGCCCTTGCCACACACCCATGTCTAATATGAAAGGATTAATCTGTAGTTTTGGGTTTCCCATTTTTCCAATCCTAAAATCAGCTCTACACATTTGGTCTTGAAAAAAGTCCTTATGTAAAATTGTCAACCGTTTACTGTGGATACTCCTACTATACATATCTGAAAAGCATGTCGTTCCTATTACACACACTCTCTCTCTTTGCAAAGAATTTTCTCTAATATAATACATTTTTGTATGCTATGTTCAGAAATATATGCATTTAAATGCACTCTATCTAGTATATGCATATTTTCTCCATATTATGGTTGTGTTTTGGGTTGCATGTTGTTTAGAAAAGGTTCGCATTAGGTAGATTCAGCTTACATGCCATTGAATAGAATTCCCCCTTTCATCCCTAGTCCATACTCTCTATTTCAGCAGTTTGGGATAAACCATTACTCCTTTGGTTTTTGTTCCACTTCAATTCAGTTTGAATATCATTTCAGTTCATTTCAGTTCAGTTCAATTGTCACATTTAACAAAGGTCACTGGTCAGGTTAAGGAACAATATGTTTAAGTTAAGTATATTCATGCTGGGTTCAGTGGCTAAATATAATTCAGTATTAACTTCAACTGGCTGCTGATACGTCCAACTTTTTAAGAATAATATTTTTATTGAATTACAGAAAATTGCAGTGGTTCTTGTCTTTACTCCTAAATCCATACACAATTGTACATTGCATCATCATTATTATTTTTTTAAAAAATTACAACTATGTGTGTCTTTAAAAAGGCTTACAACTCACAAACTCACAAAGTGCTCCTAATATTCATTGCTAACTTAGACAATTTAAAGAGATCCAGCAACATCATCTGTATATATTGAACTTTAAGATAATATAATGCACCGTTCCAAGTTACAAAAACAGGCAGAATATTAGGAATTACAGTGGCACTTTGGTTTGCAAACCACTCGGATTACAACCATTTTGGGATTACAACCACGTCAAACCTGGAATTGTGTGTCCCTTTTTTGGGGATTACAACCTATTTTTTTGGAATTACAACCAATTTTTTGGGGGGGAGAACCCATTGAGCGAAAGCAATGCCCTTGGGTTACAACCCTGTTTTGGTATTACAACCAGACCTCCAGAACGGATTATGGTTGTAAAACCAAGGGTACCACTGTAGACTATTTCAAACATTCCATGGGACACCATTTCACAATGCGTGTATTTGGAATTGTGTCTGCAATAACTACCCAAAACCTCCATGCTTGAGTTCTGCAGTTCTAAATAAGGCTAAGGCACATGAAAGGCTTATGTATGTTGCAAAAGGCATGTTCCCCATTGTGTGCACTGATGTACATGTATACTCTCTCTCAGAAACCCCCTGTAATCTTTTTTTTTTTTAAAGAAGCTGTTTATACACTGGGATACTGCCATTCTATACTTGTATTTTCAGCAGTAATACCAATGAGTTCAGGGGAGCTTAATACTTAGGTTGTTTCCTAAATAGATTGCTTCCTAAAATATGCTTGTTATTTAAGCACCATGTTTGATTCTCAGTACAAAATAATTGTCATCTGAAACATCTTACGTCAGCTAAACATAAACAATATCCTGTTGTCAACCTTTTCTTTCAGTTCACATATTTTTAAGAATGCTGCTCTAAAAGGACATGGAGTTCATTCTTGAGTATTGGAAGCAGCCTGCTTTCTATCACGAAATGTCTTGAGTGCTTCTTTAAAAATCTTGTTTCTTAGTGAATATATATAAGGGGATTAACAACAGGGGGGTACCAATGTATAAAGGAGAGAAACAAATTTGTCTTGTCGGGGGAGTAGTCAGAGGATGGCCGGATATAATGTGTATATGATTGAGAAAAAGTAAAAACTGACTACAATGAGATGTGAGGAACCATGTAGAGAAAGCCTTCTTTTTCCCTTCAGTGGAACGAATCCCTAAAGATAGCTCTCATGATAAACAAATAGGATATTAAGGTTAACCCACAACTTCCAATCCCAAATATCACATCTGCCACCAAGCCATAGTCTCGTTCAGGCTGGTGTCAGAGCTTGCGAGCTCTAAAAGTGGAGGAAGATCACAGAAGAAGTGGTTGATGATGTTGGAGTTGCAGAAGGACAGTTGCAGCACAAGTACAGTGTGAATGGCAGAATTGCCCATTCCAGCAACCCATACTCCACTTGCTATGCCAAAACACACTTCCTTCCTCATAATGACTGTGTACTGCAAAGGATTGCAGATAGCAACGTAACGGTCAAAAGCCATAAATGAGAGAAGAAAAATCTCTGTTCCTAAAGCCCATATGAATAGATACACCTGTGTGATGCAGCCATAAAAGGAAATGGTCTTTGTGTGAGTCCAAAGAGTCTGGAGCAATTTAGGAGTTGTAACTGAGATGGAAAACACATTCACTAAGGACAGGTTGATGAGTAGGAAGTACATGGGTGTGTGGAGTTTTCTGCAACTGCATATGGTGAAGATGAGCAGGAAGTTTCCAGCCAAAGCAGTAGCATAGATAAATGTAAATACCCAAAAGAGAAGAGTCTGTAGTTCTAAGGAGCTGCTTAGGCTGACCAGTGTAAACTCCATAGCAGTAGACTGGTTTTTCATGTCAATATCTCTGATGCTGATGACCTAGACAGGCAAATTGCGTTAACTTGGTTATCCAGATAGAAACTTAGTTTTTCCATTCACTTTCTCCCTCTCTCACTCACACTAGAGATTGGCAATTTCTTTCTTCAGCTGGCAAATATTTGTAAAGCAATTGTTCTTTCATTTGAGATCACAAAAAAAAATCATAACTTCTTTTGAGTCTCAGGGCTAACAATATACTTTCATTCATTATTAAATTGGCTGTCTTTTCATTAAATTAGCAGCATCTACTATGGCCTAAATAACTTGTTAGTTGATCTTTATAACCTAAATTGTATTAATATTAGCCATAGCATCTTATGGACTGCCAAGCCTTGAAATAAATAAATAATAAATAAATAAGGCCTAAATAACCCAATTTCATCTTTATATTCATCCTCGGTAAATATCAACATTAGTAAGAATAGGCTGCCTAAATCTTTCCGCCAGTTTTTGAAAGTTTTCCATAATTCAAATTCTTCTCTAAGAGTTGGTTAATCAGAAAATAGTTATATTCAAATCTTCTGTGTCCTTTTAAAAACACGTACATGCAGTCATCATAACTCAGCCAGAAATATCCACTTTTAAAATATTCCCATACATATCCAACTGGGCTGTTTCAAAGCCCTTAAATATAGATATATGTGAGTATCTGAAAATGAGTTGACATTTTTGTGCAAGAAGTTAGAGTTCAGAGATTTAAGTGATTGTGTGAAAATCATTGCTTGCAAAATGCTATGTGAAATACTATGTCAAGCCACATATTACAAACCTTTAAATGGGGTTGGGCAAAACACAAGTCATTTATTATCCTTTAATAATTAACCAATTTACATTATGAAGAAACTCTTAAGTAACATGAAAGATTTACCTTCATCCCTATTTGCTCTTTTGTATTGTTGCTGGTATTTTTATAACTTGGAGCCAATTGCCTTCTATAAGTTGGATGTCTGATGAAAACTGGTTTGATCTCATTGTAGACAGGCTTTCAAGGAAAGCTATCAGCTACCTTTAAATCTTACTTTAATTGAAGTGATGGTGCCACTGGGAGAAGGAACTCTGAGGCACCTGGAAGATGATGAGGATTTGTTCTATTCATTCTATTGATGTCAACATTTAGCCCATTTTTCAAATACACTTATAATTCAAATTTCAATGTTGACAATGCTTCATTTCCAAAAAGAGGCAGTTTTTATTTCCGAAAGGAGTCAGTTTTCACTTCAAACTGCACAACAGTAATATCTGCAATAATATATTGTCACTTCTTTTAATCTTTACCATACATTGCTTGATCCCTATATATAAGATTAATTATAGGAGGAATTAAGTGTCATCTAAATATTACTTTGTAGGTGTTTTGCTTCAAGATATGCTTTCAAACCCACAAAGTATCTAGTGGGATCTCTTGTCCCATATCTATCCCCCATTTGAATTGATAGGTGCTCATTAACACATTTAAACCCCAGTGCATTCCAAGGTACTATAGAGTATTCGGGGCGGGGGGAGGCAAAAGGAACATGATGTAACTAACAGAGCAATAATAATACTCTGAGGAAGGGGAAATGAAATTTAGTCAAACCATCACATCTAAAGTCCAGGCTCACTTAGTCCTTGTTTTGGAGAGTTATATATCTCTGGGATGGAAATAAGCTACACCAGCTCTAGGACTGTCATAGTTTCAATGACAGATCAGGAGAATGGAAAACTTTTGGACTCTGTGTATCGACAGCCTCTCCCAGCACACCTCTTTTTTACACTCTCTGACACCAAAGTTCTGATGTAGAGAAGCAACAGACATGATTGGCTTTCTCTCCACCTGCAGAGAGAGAAATCTAGAAATTTATATTGTCCTTCAAAGATCTTATCTACGGTCATAGCATTAATTTATAAATTGACTTATTACAGGTTTATTTTTAAAATACCTAGGCAAAGGCAGGTTCATCTAGCCCCCATTTTGATGAATGAATGGAGGAAGGGAGGAAGGAAATTATACCATTGTTGCTCTTATTCTTGTTTTTACTACGATGATTTTTCTAGAATACAGGCTGTCTGGCTTATGCCTTGGCTGGTCTGATATGCTTGAGAGACGACAGTGGTGCAACCCAGTCCCAGTGGGAATCAATTGTGCTTGGAAAAGGGCTAGCTGCACAATTAGGTGCTGCATATTGTAACCTAGTGGCTGGGTGATCCAGCACCCCAGTATTACATTCTCAGAAGAGACATTTTCTACACAGGAAATGATATTTGGTTGGCAGACATTGAAGGAAGTATCAGGGTTTGAATGCAGATGTGAGTGGTTTGGCAGTGACTGTTTTGCTCGATTGGCGGTTGGGGCATTGGGACAATTCTTTGTCTTGGATGGAGGGAAGGTTGTAGTCTCCACCTGCCCCTCCAAATGCTGGGGTATCCTGATAAAGAGATCTGAGGGGAGTGGTCATGTCTGTGTGCCCAGGTGGGCCAAAGCTGATGGTACTCCCCCAGACAGCAGTCCCTGTGGGAGTCCACTTATTTCATGTAAGTTTTAGGAATCCACGCCTGGGTTGACCTACGCATCATTGCCAGTGGGTGGGCCGGAAGTACTCAATAAAGTTGTGGCCTGTTTCAATCCAAACCAGACTTAGTCGTCTTTTATTTATCTTGGGGTTGGGGGTTGGGGAGCATGATGCCTGGACCTGCAGCTACTTTGGTGGTATTATTTTTATAGAAACAGACTGTCTGGCTTATTCACTACTAGGGGGAGTTCCTGGTGCTGGAAATTAAAAGGCAGCCCTGTTGAGGGAAGTTTTTAATATTTAACGCTGTACTGTTTTGAACACTTGATTAGGAGCCGCCCAGAGTGGCTGGGGAAACTCAGCCAGATGGGCGGGGTATAAATAATAAATTATTATTAAATTATTATTATTAAAAGAAATTTGTGAGTTTGGGGGCTGTATGTGTATCATATGAACCAACTCCTAGGGGCCAAGCTCCCTTCAACCCTCCAATGAAATATTTGAGGGGGCTGGCTAGGTCCCCCCAAACTTGATGGACATAGCCATCCAAATGGTGTGTGTGTGCTGTGTCTTGTGATCAATTAAGCAGGATAGGGCTTACCTGCCCCCCCATTTTATTCAAGTTAGTACCCCTGACATGTATATATCAAATCTGGTGAAGTTTTACCAAATGGGGAACAATATCTTCAGTGGCATCAAAATTGACTTGTTTTGGACATTGCATGCCCCAAAACATGTGAAGTCATACCCAAGTCATGCTTTCTACCACAGGAGCGCCATCTCCTAAGGACCAAGCCCCCCCCCCCCATGTTTAAAGGTGGCAGAAGAGGAAAATCATGGAGCTAAGTGTGGCACAGCTGGCTCCTTCTCCTCCTGCTGCTGCTAGAGAGGAAGAAGCAGGAAATCAGCCCCCTGCTGGTAGCGGTGGCAGCAGCAGGAGGAGTTGTCATGGCCACTGAAGCTGTACTGCCAATACACTGCCACTGTGTTTGGCTCCGTCCTTTCTACTCCCAACATCCTGATATCACACACTCTGTGACATCAGCCCCCATTCTCCCTTGGACGTTGGTGCCTTTGGTCCACCATCTTGATTCTAAATGGCACCAGGCATCCAAATATTGATGAAGGCCACAGGCCCCACCTCAGGAACTCTCATGCTGAGTTTGATGATAATATATTGAAATATATTATCTAACCTATTGAGAAAAGAAAACCATTTTTCAAAGTTTGTAGTACATGATGATAAGAAAATAAAATGTGCCACAAAAACTTTTCTAATGTTACATTGGCCATGTAGAACAGGTCAGACATCACCATCAGAGACTTGTTATGGTGATATGGGGTGGGGGGAGAATGTGAGCAAAGTATTGGGAGTAGGTCAATCCCAGGCTGCATTCATTTCATTTGCTCTGATTGGGGAACACCAGGGATGAAATGATGCAATGTTCTGATGAATCTTCAGAGGGGTTGTTAGCCTTATTGCAATAAAATATAATTTAACAAGGAACTTTTATGATAAATCGAAGAGAAAGGGGGGATTTGTGTGATGTCATTTCATAAACAAACTAAAATTTTAATTGTTCCTTTAGGGTCCAATATGGAGTTGCTTTGGGAATTGTTCTCCCTGTAGTCACCTATATATTGGCATGTTCTCGCCCATTGAGCGCATTGTAACATTATCTGTGTTCTATGGTAACAGAGCTAACCTAAGTAGTAAGAGAACAGAAGCATGGAAAAGCAGTACTTTGATGACATGTAAATATACTATCTTTTGGTCTTTTCATAAGAAGCAATCGTTTGTCTTAGTCCTTGCAGGACATCACTAAAATATATTGTGAGTTATAGAAATTTTACTATTTGGTGATATATCACAATAATGTTTATGATAGCTGTTGTGCTTTCTAGCCATTCCATGCTGCTAGAACTCTTAATAATAAATGTGAGCTTAAAAAACAGAAGGGCCAAAATGCTTAAATTTTAATATAGATGTTCCAATATAACAGTTAGCTTTAAAGGAAGTGAAATCAATGTTTTTAGAAAAGAATGAGGAAAGCAACTGTCTATTGATATAAAATATTACTTTAACTACACTTGTTTTTCATAGCTGTTGATTCATGTTATAGAGAAGCTATAATAGATATTCTTTTGCATTAACAGATCATGTGGCCAAGTTGCAGTAAGGAACAGGAGCTGTGTGACCGCATTCATGATGATGGGTCTCTCTGAGCATCCCAAGCTGCAGATCTTCCTCTTCATTCTCTTCCTTTCCATTTATATAGTTGCCCTGATCGGAAATGTAGCAATCATTGCTGCCATTGTTTCTTATCCCAAACTTCACACACCCATGTATTTCTTCCTGTTCCATTTGGCTGTGGTGGATATAGTCTGTACTTCCACCATCATTCCCAAAATGCTGACAAACATAGCAACTTTTAGCAAGAGAATCTCCTATTCTGGCTGCATAGCCCAGCTCTACTCCTTCACATGGTGTTTGGGAGCTGAGATGGTGCTCTTCACTGTCATGGCTTATGATCGCTATGTAGCTATATGCCACCCCTTGCGTTATAGCATCATGATGAACAAGACAGTATGTGTAGCACTCTCCACAGTGGTGATCCTTATCGCCATTACAAACTCATGGGTTCACACTGGACTGATTATGCGGCTCACTTTCTGTGGCCCCAATGGTATCAATCACTTCTTCTGCGAGATTCCTCCACTTCTGGCTCTCTCCTGCAGCCCAGTAAGAATCAATGAAGTCTGGGTATTCACAGCAGACATATTTCTTGCTATGGGGGACTTCTTAATAACATGCTTATCTTACTGCTTCATTGTTAAGGCAATCTTAAACATCAGGACCTCTGAAGGGAAGAAGAAGGCTTTCTCCACTTGCTCATCACATCTCATTGTTGTGTCCTTATATTACTCAACTGTCATCTATACTTATATACGACCAGCCTCCAGCTACTCTTTTGAGCGAGACAAGGTGGTTGCTGCCCTATACACGCTGGTTACACCAACTCTGAATCCTATAGTCTACACTTTAAGAAATAAGGATGTCAAAGCAGCTCTCCGAAAAGTATTCCTCAACTCATGAGTTAAGCAAGAACATTTTACTCTTTTTCTCCAGCAGAATTGCAGTATTATATTTAGAGCTCTGGTTCTTGACTTTGGGGTGGTTTATTTTGGGTATGTGTGTAGATGGGAAGAAATGTACATTTGATTATTTGTAGGTAAATGGGTGAAATGTCTCCACTCAAAAACAGTATATTGCAGGTGATGGGAAATATTAAAGTTTTACCAGTAGAATATATACAGTACAGAGCAATCCTAACTATAGAAAGCTGGTGTAAGTTATCACACTTAGGCTGATGTAGATTATCACTATTCCAAATGTTGTTCAGGAGGAATTTTGCCAGCTATATTCTGCCCAGTTGCTGGGTCATGCACCAAGCTGAAAGCAGTTTGAAATAGGTATAAGTCTCCCCTTATTCCATCCCACTCCTACCACATCCCCAGGATACCCCTTCTGGTGGAAGTTCTGATGACTGAACCCTGGCTGAGACTGGTGAGGGACTTTTGTTTCCATAACCACGGCTCTGCCAGGAAAGCCCAAGATCAGCCAAATCCAAACTCTTTCATCCCAGTGGACCTTGGGTTTCTACTGCACTGATAATAAACAATTTAAAATCTATAATTTCATTTGCACCTCTGTAACAAAACAAGCTTCATTAATGAATGGTTGGAAGAGCCAAAGGCAAAAATGGGTGAAGAAATGAATGTATATATTGCCTTCATACAATAGGCTAGCCTCTACACACATTCACAGACATTGTGTCCTCCATCAGACATTATAAGAGTTTAAAGGACCATTCCAGCCAGAATGATCTTATTCTCATCTTGGGCTCCTTGGAATTTGGCCTATCATTTGGCCATCTTTCAAGAAAAACTTGATGAAACTGTGAGCCTTTCTTTTTGCATGTTACAAAAATGTTCACTCCTGTTACCTAACCAATGGAAATGGATCGTCTTCCCAAAGAGTATCAGATAAAGATGCTTTCCCATGACCACATTCCAAGCAAGTTAACACTCCTGTCTCAGTGACTGACATCTATGCTATCTTGGTCATGTCCACAGAATAGAAGATGACAGGATCTCCAAGGGCATGCTCTGCAGGGAGCTGGTTTCAGGCACCAGGCCTGTTGGCAGACCAACTTTGTGTTCTTGAACTCTGATAACGCCTCTTGCTTGGATGGATGATAATGATGCAGAGGGGTGTGTGAGTATATATAGAAACAAGCCACACCAACCTTTGCATCTAGCCACGACAACCACTGGTCTGGAAAGAGACAAGGGGGGCTGAGAGGGCTCTGTGGGGAAGGCTTTTCATAATATTGGAGCTATTCCTTAAATGTCCTTGCCTGCCATGTTTCTAACAGGAGCAAGAATAGGGTCTCATATGCCAAAGTTATGGGACACCATGGAGTTTCCCTTCCTTTCCTAACCCATTCATTTCACTAATGATAATTTTTTTATAATAATTTATATTAATTTTTCATTAATAATAATCCAATATAAGCCACATTGATACAATACCAAATCATAAAATAATTTTAAAAAACCCAATTATTCCATTCCAAATTAAACATTTTTGGGTGACTTCCTATGTTCTGGTCTTGTGGAGATACTGTTGTTGCTCCTTCTCCTGCTTCCATTCTTATTTAATCCGAATAATACCATTCCGATGTTATTCCTTTATCTTTGCAGCCACTGACGTAATGACTTTCATTCGTATTTTTAACTGTTCCATCTCTGTTAATTTGCCAGAGGGGGTTATATCTTCTAACTTTCTCTGTGTAATATATTTTAATGTTTGTCTTTCCTTTCCTGTTGCAATCCATTATTTCTGGCATTCCCACCCATGCCACTCCGAGAACTTAATTCTTACTGCACAATCCTCTTCACCATGTTTCTTTGGCCTCTAGCCTTGCTCTGGGCTGACTTAGTCCGTAAAAATTATAAAGTTTTTATTGATTCCCTCTTGCATTCCATTACTAATTACAATCCATTGATAATTATATTCCATTAGAAATTATTTTTCTTTCTTCAGTGAAGGGTTGCCAAATCATAAAACTATGTAGTGCATGTATAGAGAAAAAACTAAGGCTTCCCTCCACCTGCCTTCCAATCCGGTTACGACGATAGTCCTCTCCAGATGAAGACCTTGGCACTCAGTGCCTGATTCATTTAGCAGGTTATCTTGTCTCCTTCTTCCAGAACGTGTCTGTTTTTTAAGTCTAAATTCATATCTATCTTAAAAAACAGAGGAACCACTGCTCATGGTGACTGGGTTGGAAAGTTACCGATACGTGCAGTGCTATGCACTCTGCATCCCCTGTCCCGCATCATAGAAACAAGAAGCAGGTATCGGATGATCTGCAAGTGAGAGCTCACCCCCCCCCTGAGCTGGGGGGGGGGCTTGCAAGGATAATTACTCTCAAATTAACCTTAATTATCTGCACACCCAGCATCCGCTATCATGGGAATTGCTGTTCGCCATGGCAGCTCCGGACTGGAAGTCCGATTCATTTCACTAATGTAATCTGCATTATTGTTAGGAAAGTTGAAAAATAATTATTGCAACCATAAATAGGATAAAGCTAAAGAATTCATGGTCCATTTTAAGGTATTTATTATTATTTATTATCCTAATTTATTATTATTATAAGGTTATATAAATATAGTGGTTTTATGTATAGAATACAATAATTACAAGGTCAATTGTAATACAACATTATCATAAAGGCAGCATAAAACATCCAGAAGGACTACTATTACAATCAAAAAGATCCTTGGAAACTAAGAAGGACTTTGGTGTTGAAAGGACAGTCAATTGAGTAATAATGAAAATTCCTTGGGGAGAACTTTCAACAACTGAGACATCACCACGCAGAAGGATCTCTTTCTGGAAAACAAAACATCTCACTTCATAGTGGCATAGTCACCCATAGAAGACCTCCATTGACAACACAACCCTGCACAAATGGGCCTACTCAACAGTAATTCAATTGAGTTTCAGTGGGCCCTTATTCACTAGTAAATGTGTTCAGGATTGCAACATGAAGTTCTTAATATATGGGCACATTAATATGGAAACAGGTGGTCCTTCAAATATTATGATTGATTGGGAAATGTTCAGATTTTATACACATATTATTGAGTGGTTTATTCTTCTTTTATGAGAAACAGACAGACAGAAATCTTATTGCAAATTAGAGAGACGAAAATTGATTCAGAATTAATCAGCAATGGCTTTATTATAGTTTAAATGACCACAGAAAAGTAAATTCCTATAAATACAACTAATTCTATACCCACATGACAAATTTTTGAATTGTCTGCTATATGCGACTCTTTTTAATAATAATAATGATATTATATAGCAGGAGGTATCACTTTTTGTAACCCCATCAGTTTCTTGATGGCTTCTTTCACTTCTTTGGTTTTCAGACTGTAAATAATGGGGTTCAGCATGGGGTTGAAATGCCTATATTGGGTGGAAAAGAGTTCATCCAGTAGTACAGACGAGGCTGAATTTGGCCTTAAATACCTAAAGCAGGCAGTGCCATAAAATAAAATGACAACAATGAGATGGGAACTGCAGGTGGAGAATGTTTTTCTTTTAGCTTCTGCTGAATTAAGCTTCAGAACCATAGAGACTATGTAGGTATATGACACCAGCATGACACAGATTGATGAAAAGCACTACTGCAACTACTTGTAATTAAGAATGTTATCACATTCACAAAGGTTTCTGTGCAAGATAAGGCCAAGAGAGATGGGAGTTCACAGCTGAAATGCCTGATAGTGTTTGGACCACAGAACACCAGCTTCAGAACAGGAAATGTATTAATCAATGCATGTACAAAACCTATTGCCCATGCACCTCCCACCAGCAGCTTACAGAACGGTATATTCATAGTTTCAACATAATGAAGTGGCTTGCATATGGCAGCATATCGGTCATAAGCCATTGCTGTAAGAAGGAAGATTTCAGTGCATCCTGTCTGGATGATGAAAAACATTTGCATGATGCAGGTACTGTAAGAAATTCTTTGGCTATGGAAGAAATTCAGGAGAACCTTAGGCACCGTGACTGAAGAGTAGCAAATATCCAGAAAAGACAGTTGACTTAGGAAGAGGTACATAGGGCTCTGTAGATTACTGTCTTTCTTTATTACCATCATGATGATCGTGTTCCCTACCAAAGTTATTGCATACATGAGTAAAAACACCAGGAAGAGGCAAATACGAACTGGGAAAACTGTAAGAAAATCCCACAAGAAGAAAATATGTCACAGTAGTTTGATTTTCCATTTCCTTTCCAACAAAAATGTAATCTGTGAAAAACAAACAAACATCTGATTGCAGCAAAGTTGTTCTGTTGTTCCTGAATAGTAGACTAAAGCATCTGAAATATTGTTGAAATGGGAACCATAATTCTAAAAACTTATATCAATTAAGAGCTGGATTCAGTCTATGTTGAGCAGCTTTAACCTCCACTGAGAAGTCAATGTCCATGCTCAATTTTTCTGCATCATTGAAACCAACCAACCAATCAATAAATCTTTATTGCAGTCATAGAACAGACAGCAAGATTAACCAACAGCCATTGTAGCCCAAATCAGTTCATGTTTCCTTGAAATGAAGTCCAGTTGGTCTCAGTGGGACATAATTCCATTGCATGACATTTAGCCTTTTACTTGCCTGTAATCAATGTTAGAAAGCTTATTAAAATGAGGTGTTCTTATATAATAAATAACACAATTTGTAAATAAATAGTATCAACATTTCCTCAATATGCTGAGAGCATCATTTCATATTCAAACCCAATAATATGGATCTTTGGTTAAATCCTAACTGGTCTAATAACAAAAGCAGCTGCATCATCGAGATCACACAGTTGGGAAGTTGCTATCTTTCAACATTTCTCAGCCTTATTCACCAGTTTCTAAAAGTCTGCTTGAACAGACTTCTCTATTTGTCTTCCATAAGGACTGAAGATTAACAAAAAAATGAATTGATTTAGTAAATCAG